GGATGGCTTTGAGTTTTTCTCCATTTAATTTAATGTTAGCTGTCGGTTTGCTGTAGATAGCTTTTATTATATTTAGGTATGACCCTTGTATCCCTATTCTCTCCAAGACCTTTATCATAAAGGGGTGTTGAATTTTGTCGAATGCTTTTTCCGCATCTAATGAAATGATCATATGGTTTTTTTCTTTCAGTCTATTTATATGGTGGATTACATTGATAGATTTGCGTATGTTGAACCAGCCCTGCATCTCTGGGATGAAGCCTACTTGATCATAATGGATAATTTTTCTGATGTGTTCTTGAATTCGGTTTGCCAGTATTTTATTGAGAATTTTTGCGTCGATATTCATGAGTGAGATAGGCCTGTAATTCTCTTTCTTGGTTGGGTCTTTGTGTGGTTTTGGTATCAGGGTAACTGTAGCTTCATAAAAGGAATTTGGCAATGACTTTTCTGTTTCTATATTGTGAAATACGTTAAGGAGTATAGGTATTAGCTCTTCTTGGAAGTTCTGGTAGAATTCTGCGTTGAACCCATCTGGTCCTGGGCTTTTTTTGGAAGGGAGATTTTTGATAACAGTTTCTAGTTCTTCGCGACTAACAGGTCTATTTAGATCATTCACCTGGTCTTGGTTTAGCTTTGGTATATGGTACTTATCTAAAAAAATGTCCATTTCTTTTGCATTTTCCAGTTTTGTGGCATACAGGCTTTTATAGTAAGATCTAATGATTCTCTGGATTTCCTCTGTGTCTGTGGTTATGTCCCCCCTTTCATTTCTGATTTTATTTATTTGCGTGTTCTCTCTCTGTTGTTTAGTTAGTTTGGATAGGGGTTTGTCGATCTTGTTGATTTTCTCCAAGAACCAACTTTTTGTTTCATTGATTCTTTGGACTGTTTTCTGTGTTTCTATTTTGTTGATTTCTGCCCTCAGTTTGATTATTTCCAGTCTTCTACTCCTTCTGGGCACCTCTGCTTCTTTTTTTTCTAAAGCTTTCAGGTGTGCCATTAAGTCCCCAATGTATGCTTTCTCTGTTTTCTTTAAGTGGGCACTTAGTGCTATGAACTTTCCTCTTAGCACTGCTTTCATCGTGTCCCATAGGTTTGAGTATGTTGTCTCTTTATTTTCATTAAATTCAAGGAAGACTTTAATTTCTTTCTTAATTTCTTCCTTGACCCAGGTGTGGTTCAGTAGTTGACTGTTCAGTTTCCATGAGTTTGTCGGCTTTCTGGGGGTAGCATAGTTGTTGCCATCTAACTTTAATCCGTGGTGATCTGATAAGACACAGGTGGACACTGATATTCTTTTGTATCTGTGGAGGTTTCCTTTGTTTCCGAGTATATGGTCAATTTTTGAGAAGGTTCCATGAGCTGCAGAGAAGAAGGTATATTCTTTCCTATTTGGGTGGAGTGTTCTGTAGATGTCTGTTAAGTCCATTTGCTTCATTACCTCCAATAATTCTCTTAATTCTCTATTAGGTTTCTGTCTGATTGACCTGTCCATTGGAGAGAGAGGTGTGTTGAAGTCTCCTACTATTAGTGTGTGTGGTTTTATGTCTGCCTTGAGTTTTAGAAATATTTCTTTTACATAAGTGGGTGCTTTTATATTAGGGGCATAGATATTCAGGATTGAGATGTCATCCTGATGAATTGTTCCTGTTATGAGTATAAAGTGTCCATCTCGATCTCTTCTGATTGATTTTAGTTTGAAGTCAGTTTTGTTGGAAATTAGTATGGCCACACCTGCTTTTTTGTTAGGACCATTTGCTTGAAAGACCTTTTCCCAACCTTTTACTCTGAGTAGATGCCTGTCTTTGTGGTTGAGATGTGTTTCTTGCAAACAGCAGAATGTTGGATCCTGTTTTCGTATCCAATCCCTTAGCCTGTGCCTTTTTATAGGTGAATTGAGACCATTAATATTAAGTGATATTAGTGACCAGTGGTTGTTTACTCCGGTTATTCTTACTGTTTTCGGTAGTAGAGTTTGTGTGTGTCCCTTCTTTGAGTTGTACTGGTGAAGGTTCGCTAGATTCCTGAGTTATTGTAGTCAGTGTTGGCAATGTTGGATTCCTTGGGTTGCGATTTTCCTTCTATTACTTTCTGTAGCGCTGGATTTGTGGCTACGTATTGTTTAAATTTGTTCTTATCCTGGAATGTCTTGTTTTCTCCATTGATAGTGAATACTAGCTTGGCTGGGTATAGAAGTTTGGGTTTGCATCCATGGTCTCTTAGTTTTTGAAGAACCTCTATCCAGGACCTTCTGGCTTTCATGGTTTCCATAGAGAAGTCAGGTGTAAGTCTGATCGGTTTACCTTTATAAGTTACTTGGCCTTTTTCCTTTGCAGCTCTTAATATTCTTTCTTTAACCTGTATATTTTGTGTTTTGATTATTATATGGCGAGGGGATGCTTTTCTTTGATCCAGTCTGTTTGGTGTTCTGTATGCTTCTTGGATATTCAAAGGAATATCTTTCTTTATGTTGGGAAAGTTTTCTTCCATAATTTTGTTAAATATATTTTCTGGGCCTTTGAGCTGTAATTCTTCCCCTTCTTCTATTCCTATTATTCTCAGGTTTGGTCTTTTTATTGTGTCCCATATTTCCTGAATGTTTTGTGATGAGAATTTGTTGGCTTTGCTGTTTTCTTTGATCAGTGCGTTTATTTTCTCTATGGTGTCTTCAGAATCTGAGATTCTTTCTTCTATTTCTTGTATTCTATTGATTATGCTTGTTTCTGTAGGCTCTGCTCGTTGACCTAGATTTTCCGTATCCAGCTGGTCCCCCGTTTGTGCTTTCTTCCTTGCTTCCATTTCAGTTTTCAATTCTTGAACTGTTTCCATTACCTCATGTACGTATTTACATGGGTCTCATGGGTCTCCTGGGTCTCATGTACGTATTTACTCAATTCTTCAAACTTTTTGTTATACTTCTCATCCATTTCTATAAAGGTGTTTTTTACATATTGTTTAAGGGACTCTATTGCTTTCATAAAGTCGATTTTTTCCACTTCTTCAGTGTTAGAGTGGTCAAGACTTTCTGTTGTAAGATCATTGGGTTCTGGTGCTTTCATGTTGTTTTTCAGATTATTGGGTGAATTTTTGCCTTGGCGCCTGCCCATCTCCTCCTATTGATGCTCTCTAATTGGTCTTTTAAAACCAGATCAGGTTTCCCTGCTGCCCAGAGGCTCCTCTTGCAAAATGCCCTCGTTCTGTTTCCTGGCTCCTGCCAGGGGCCAAGACCCCTTTCACCCCTCAGACGGGTCTTCAGGAAAAGAACCAGGTTCCCTGTTTGCCAGGGACCTCGCCAACCAAAGGCCTACCTCTTTGATTTAATTGTCCTGGGGCGATCTGCTCTCAGTGTTGCGCTGGTCCCTGCTGCCTGCGTTGCCTGCCACTGTGTCAGTACCTGCCGGTCCAGCCCGCGCCAGCTGCCTCCCTTCTGTTCTTATCTTCTGGGAGAGATTGCCATTGTTGTCACATATTTCACTCAATGTCCCAGAAAACACATCAGAAAGAGCCTGAGCTTGTTATTTCTCTTTCATAAAGTTATGCCTTGCTTTGATTTGTTTTCATTGTATTTATTCGTAGGGCTGGCTGTGATGTGCTTGGACCGCAACAGAGAGTGGGGGTCAGGGACAGCTTTCAGAAGTTGGTTCTCTTTTTTTATCATATAGGCCAGGGATGCAACCCATGCTACCAAGTTCGGCAGCAATCTTCCTTATCTGGCCTTGGTGTAACACATTTTGACAGAAGATCTTTCATGTTATTTATCAGACCAATGATGAGATTTTTTTTTACATTTTTATTCTATGAGAATTTTGTATGTGTGCATAATAAAATATGATTATATCTACTTCCACCTGAAACTTTCTGTATATCCTCCCTAATATGACTATTGCCCAACTTCATGTCTTTTTTTCCTTGTAAACCATTAAGTTTAATCAGTACTGCCAATATGTGCATGGTATCGTACCATTCACTGGAGCATAGGAAACTCCCAGTGGCTACACAGTAAAAGAAGAGCGCTTCTCCCTCCCCAGCAGCTACCATCTGCCACTAGCTCCTTAGTAAGGATTGAGGATTGGAGAGTATCTCTCTGTTTATGCCAGGATTTTGTCTGACTTGATCTCGTGTAGGCTAACATAGATACCATGACTTCACAGGCACAGTAGTCACGTGATACCCAGAAGTCAGCATTTTGTAGCACCCCTTTCCTCTTCTGGCTCTTAAATTCTTTCTACCTCTTCTATGATGTTCCCTTAGCCTTGGGCTAAGGGGGGAACTGATTAAAATGTTCTGTGTAGGGCTGACATCCACAGTCTTTTTCTTTGTTTGAGTCAGGGTCTCACTATATGTGTAGCTCTGTCTGTCCTTGAATTTGCCACATAGGCGACACTGGCCTTGAATTCACAGAGATCCATCTGCCCCCTGCTCCTCTGTGTTGGAATTAATATGTGCACCACCATACCTGGGCACATTCGTCATCTTGATAAGAGAGAATTCATCCAAGTTTCATTGGGGTTTCAGATTCTTAGTATGTCAGAAATAGGTAGAAAGTTGGAAAGATACTAAGAGTATATAGAATACTATAAAGCATTGCATGGCGGTGATTCCCCCTTTACCATTAAGCTAATTGTTTCTGTTCCAGTGGGTGTCCTCAGGCTTCATAATTAGCTTCTATTGACAAGTAGACATTTCTAAATCTGGTGGGTTCCAAATTACTAAAGATGCACTGTCCAAAGAGTATCAAGGCAAACATCATAAGAGGTGCTGGTGTTGTGTTGCTCATTTGTCATGCAGTTCCTTACTGGACTGAGGATTTGCGACAGTGCACAAGTTAGAATGAATACTAAGTGTGTATTCACTATTTGTAACTAGTGAAAAGTAGTGCTAATCATGATATAGAAGAAACAGATGAAGAACAGGCATGAAGTGAAGGGATTAAGGCACTCTGGATCTCCCGTGTTTTCTCACCATTAGTCTTATTAAGTGTCTGTGGATTCTTTCAGGAGCCAGTGACCTTTGAGGACGTGGCTGTGAACTTCACTCTAGGAGAGTGGGCTTTGTTGGATTCTTATCAAAAGGAGCTCTACAGAGATGTGATGAAGGAAACCTTTAGCAACCTGATCTCCATAGGTAAAAAAATACAGCATAATTATTTTTCTTATTCATTCACAAAAGTAACTGTTTCTTGCTCTTCTGTGTAGTTGCCTAATTTGAAATATTAAAAGGCTAAAAAATAAAATATTTGTATGCTTTTTTGCATTTTACCACGGGGCGGAAGATAAGAATGTAATGATTTTTAATGTAATATGTAACCAAACTTTCCTTGGGTTTGCCTTTCAGGGAAAACAGAGGAAGAAAATATTGGAGAGGACTACCAAAGTATTAGGAGAAATCTGAGGTAATTTACACTCAACAACAACAACAACAAAAGAATTTACAGTAAAAATTTGAAAGTAGTAGAAAATCTGATACCCAAGTAAATAATCCAAATACAGCTAAATGTAAATTGATTTAATCTGAAACTTCATTGAACTTGAGCATTCAGAATTGAAGGATCCCAACTTTGTGATGTAATATTGCATAATACCACGCAACCTAAGCTATATGAGACTTTTCCCCAATTCTTTCATTATACGAAAACTTTACTGTGTGCACAAAATTATTTAATATAGTTTTTCGAGTTACCTTTAGACTTTGAATGTAAAACATACGTGAATAAAAGTGTGTTTGGGATAAATTGTAATGTAGCTTCAATAACTATGTTAAAAAGACTCAGCTATTGGTCTGGAGAGAAGGCTTAGTGGTTAAGAGCATTGCCTGCTCTTCTAAAGGTCCTGAGTTCTATTCCAAGCAACCACATGGTGGCTCACAACCATCTGCAATGAGATCTGGTGCCCTCTTCTGGCCTGCAGACATGCATGCAGGCAGTATACTGTATACACAATAAATAAATAAATCTTTAAAACAAAATACTCAGCTATCCCAATTCCATAAAGCCTGACCCACACCATTTTGCATCAAGACTATTCAACGTTGGTAACTTTGGCAAAGACCATGTTTGTCACATATGAGCCAACCATGAAATAGGAATAGTTAAAGAATAAAATGTAACATGGGCTGAACAAATTACTGTGTATCTGCAGTGTTTTTACACCATTCTTTTTGTAATCATGTGGATTGTTTTAGGAGACAAAATGTTATTAGAGAAACTAAGAAAATTGTGTTTTTCCCAGGGCCTGTGGCTCACTGTTCAATTTTTCTTTCTTTTTTTTAAAGATTTATTTATTTATTATGTATACAACATTCCTTCCATGTGCACCTGCATACCAGAAGGGGGCACCAGATCTCATTACAGATGGCAGTGAGCCACCATGTGGTTGCGGGGAATTGAACTCAGGACCTCTGGAAGAGCGGTCAGTGCTCTTAACTGCTGAGCCATCTCGCCAGCCCCTGTTCAATTTTTTTTTAGGCATAAATTCTTGTGGCAATAGTCACAACTCTTTTTCCCCTAGGGTGAGCTCTTTCTATGTGGTTTATGTTAGCTTCGAACTTGTAGTCCCTTTGCCCTTGCCTTCTAAATACTGCAGTAGCAAGTGTGCACCTCAATACCCAACCTCCAGTATCTCTCTTGGCTAGCCATAAAACTATAGTAATATTCTTTTCATTTTTTTTTTCAGCACTCATGTGGTTAAAGGATTATATGAATCTGAATGTGGTATTCAGTATGGAGAAACCCACCGGCAGATTCAAGAGCCTGTTGGTAATGAGGACATGCCTCCTGGAATAGCAGTCTGTGACAACAGTGTGTGTGCAAATGATGCCATTGGTCTTTCACAATCAGATGCGCATCGCAGTGATCCAACTGTAGAGAAGCCATATGAGTATCAGGAAGATATGGACAAGTCTTTTAAACATAAGAAATATTGGAAAGATTTTACGTATTCCGAGTCCTCTCTTACCCTTGAGAATCTTTCCAGAGAGAAACCCTGTGAAAATAAACTCTTTAATGAGCACTGGAGGAGTCTTGCTTCTGCTCAGGATTCTCAAGCAACGCGCAGTGGAGATAACGTCCTTGAATATAAGCAGTTTGAAGCCGCTCTCATGGCGTGTAGTTATGTTCAGTCTTATGAAAAACTCCAAACTGGAGAAAAGACATTTGTGTGTAAGCAGTGTGGCGAAGCCTTCATTAATTCTAGTCACCTTATCAAACATCATAAAACTCATACTAGAGAGAAGACTTTTGCATGTAAGTACTGTAGAAAAGCTTTCATCCATCCCAGGGCCTGTTACAATCATGAACGAACTCACACTGGAGACAGACCTTATGTGTGTAAACAATGTGGGAAAGCATGTATTCATTCTTACCACCTTCTCCAACATGAAAGGAGTCACACCCGGGAAAAACTTTATGCATGTAAGCAGTGTGGGAAAGTGTTTGGACGTTCTTCATACCTTCGTAAACATGAGAGAATTCACACTGGAGAGAAGCCGTATTTATGTAAGCATTGTGGAAAAGCATTCAGTGATCCCACAACCCGTAACAATCATGAAAGAACTCACACTGGAGAGAAACACTACGTTTGCAAGCAGTGTGGGAAAGCCTTCATTCGTTCTTCTCAGCTTCTGATCCATGAAAGAATTCACACTGGAGAGAAGCCTTACTCATGTAAACATTGTGGGAAAGCTTTCACCTATTCCAGTGCCTGTTACATCCATGAAAGAATTCACACTGGAGAGAAGCCCTATGTTTGTAAGCAGTGTGGGAAAGCATTTACGTGTTCCACATACCTTCACAAACATGAAAGAATTCACACTGGAGAGAAACCTTATTCATGTAAACAGTGTGGGAAAGCCTTCATCCAGCATAGAGCTTGTTACAATCACGAAAGGATTCACACCGGAGAGAAACCATATGTATGTGTGCAGTGTGGGCATGCATTCACTTTTTCAAAATCCCTTCAAATCCATGAAAGAAACCACACTGGAGAGAAGCCATATGTGTGTGAACAATGCGGGAAAGCCTTCACATGTTCGACATACCTTCACCAACATGAAAGAATTCACAATGAGAAGAAATCCAGTGGATAGAATTTATACCAATGTAAATCATGTGAGCGTTTTCATAGCCAGCTTGCAAGGAATAAAGGAAGTATGGAGAGAAAGTGAGAGGATATGAGATCAGTAGCTGTATAATTTTTTCTTACATAGCAAGCGTACATAGGATACAATCTGTTGTTGTACCAGGCATGTTGATACATGCCTTTTATTCCAACAGTAGGGCAGTGGAGGTTTAGAGGATGGCAACATTGAGTAAAGTTTGTTTCAGATAAGAGTCATTAAATTTTCTCCTGTAGATGATCATTGTATAAGCAAGAAACGTGAAGGGCTGGAAGCAATATTTGGTAGAATATTACTGAAATACACTAAAAAATTAAATATTGTAATTTTTGTTCCTTTCTTATGTACATACAAGACTGCTTGACTTAATTAAAAAAAACTTTTAAAGTATGGTTTGGCAAGTATAATAACTTTGGCATGATTCTACCTGCCTGTTTTCCTCATGGTTGCAAAGCTGGGGCACAACAGGAACTTTAACCCACAGTGGAAAGCCACCGGGACGCTGCAAGGAATAACAATAACCTCTATGAAGGAATAACACTAACACCTGAATAAAGAAACTATTTGAGTTTTGGTGATAAAATCTGTTTGGTAAATCAATTGAATTTCAATTTAATAGCAGTTTTTAAATCAAGTAATAATACAGTTTCCTTTGGTAGAAAGCTGTATTGGGTTTGTCAAATTCAGATGGCATTTGTAACCATCCGAGTATGCTTAATTTTTAGGTATATTTTGAGTTGTCGTGTTTCATGTGAAGTTGAAAAATATATTTGTCCATTGTTAGTATTTTCTGGCTGTCATTTTCTGGCATGTACTTTTTTAAGCTATTATTGTTTGCCAGTTTCCTAAATTTAGGTGCATACTTAGATTTTTTCTGAGAGTAACGTTTTTACATAGATTTTATATTTTGTAATTTTAGTGTATATTTTCTTTTAAAGTTTTTGATGTTTGATTATTTATTTATGTGTGTGTGTGTTTGTGTGTGTGCCGTAGTAGAGATGTGGAGCTCAGTGGACGAAATTCAAGATTTTATTCCCTGCCAGGCTTGCTCAGCAAGCAGTTTTACTCATTGGGTCTCATCACCAGCCCCAATTGCCATTTTTGAACTGTTCTTTCTTTTATTTATTGAGACATTATCTCTCTACCTAGGTCTGTCTCTCTAGGAACTCACTATGGAGACCAGGCTGACCTCAAACTCAGACAGATGTGCCACACCGTGCTTGAAACTGTGTATCTTTAAAAAGTTAAAACCTATTGCCATGTTCATCAGTTTGAAACTGGTTTTTAAGATGTAAAATTTCTTTTGTGTTTATATTGTTCAACTTTTATTATAAGTGTTTCTTTGCTCATCGAAACATAAAATATATTAGGCTGATGTGTTTCTCTGGACAAAAAATGAACACGACCATACCGTGTATCTCAATAAAATGTAATGAATTTTAGTGAATCTTTTCAATTGTGATTAATGATAGTGTTAGTCCCCACTAGGTGCAATTTCTAACCTGCTTAATAATTGTTTTAAATGACTTGAATACACTTTAATGTAGTTTGCGGTTCCTATTTATTAAAAGTACTTTGTGGTTGAATATAGTTCTGTCTTTTGTGTTGTAATAATGGTCTCTCCTGGAAGGTTGCGATATAGTGAGAGGAAGTAGTGATTTATGAGTACGAGTTAATCTCACTTTTAAAGGGTGGCAATTTTGTTCATTTTCGTGATTCAGATTATTTTTGAATGTTCAGGTAGATATCCAGGATGTTACTGTTTTTCCTTGTTTCTGTTTCATCCTAGTTACTGAGGAGAATTTCCTACTTTACTAGTATTACTTTTTAAGGCCTTGCTTTTTCCTGTTTTACTTGTTATCTACTAAATATTTCATTAAAATATATTGAACTCTATTTTCCACTAATACCAGTGCTTCTTAGATTTCATAAATTGCATCCTTTTAAAGGTGATTTATGTTAAATACATCCAAACTGAGGAACATTAACCCTAGCCTACAATGTTACTTTGCCATAGTTACTTAGTGTAAAGTTTGTTAAAGTCATCAAACCATGTGTATTTCTTTTGGGTGTAATGGGCTGTGGCGTGCTTGCTAGTTTTATATATTTGTATACATGATCATCACAGTGCATCACTACTGCTGCCCCTAGTTATGATTCCAGAAAATATCATTCAACAAACTGCTACCAGTGTGAGGTTAGGTTTTAAGAGCATATGCCATTTATCTTTGCTCGTTTGCTTTCCCCTTGTCATGTTATTTAAAATATAAAAGCTCATGCCAGTTATCTTTCTTATGTCAATGGAAATACTTAAGTCCATTCCGTCAGATGTCTTAAAAATCTCCCAATTTCCTTGCTCACTGTAAGCCAGGAGCATGGATGTATGAGTTTTCCCAATAGATGCCTAGTAATGGACAGAGAAAGCACCATCGTTTCAAACGAGTTTGTGGTTCTCAGAAAATATGTATTAGGCTGTACTTTTCAAATATATCTCGCATGTCAGCATGATTGATTAGGAACTTTAAGAATTAAGAATGCAATATGGAGATACCCTTTGTTCTCTATACTGTTGTTATGGAAACACTGTTGCAATGCCTGGTGTTGATAATTTAAAAAGAGTTAAGGGGTATGCAGATATTAAATACTTATGAGGTGGAAAGAAAGCTAGGGTTAGAATCCAGTTTTGGACACTTATGCAACTTTTTTACCTTATTTTTGATCTCCACCACTGCCAAACAAGAAGAGAAAATAAAGGTTGTTAATGAAATTAATCTTTGTAAATATGATTTACTCAGAGCACACTTACTTCATTTCATCATGTAACTTTTTCATTTACAACAACACAAGGTAATTTACAAGGTAATTGGGTACATTGTCTCATTTCATTTCTGTTCTTTAAATTTTCTAGGCTTTTCGAAACCTCTTTATGTGTAATAAACTAGGTGAAAGAATTACAGAAAACTGTGTCTATAAATGTTGAACTTCACATTCAAAAGTAACTTTAGTTTTTGAGAGTTGGAATGAGGAAGCAACTTTCATACATTACTGATTAGTTGGAGCTCTTTGCTTAGAATTCTATTCATTTTATCAGAACCTCTTTTGTTTTAGGGGTTCCTTGAAATCTTTACCCACTGTCCATGTAAAGAAGCAGAAAAAATTCTTACAATTTTTTTAAAAAGTATTTACTAACCTTCTTACAGTTTCTTCAGTGTGATATTTTTATTTATGTATTTTATGTATACATGGGTACCATTTGCATATACATCTGCATGCCAAAAGAAGGCCTCAAATGCCATTATAGATGGTCAGGAGCCACCATGTGTTTTCTGGAAGTTGAACTCACAACCTCTGCTCTTAACCTCTGAGCCATCTCAGCTTCCACAAAACTTTAAAAAAAAAATAACTTCTTTATTGACTCTTTGCAAGTTTCACATCATGCACCCCAATTCTATTCACTTCCTTGTCCTCCCTATGCCCCCCTCATCCCTGCCACACACACCCCACATAAGAAAACGATTCACAGTAAGCAATCAAGAGAACAAAATTAGAAGCAAAACAACCCCCAAACAAAAACGAAACAAACAAAAGACCCACAACAAAAACAAAACAAGAGCCACAACAGAAAAATCTCTTAATTTCTCCTTCGTTCCTGCTTCTCCAACACCTTTTCATCCATCCTGGTGGCAATGGAGGTTTCAGTGTGCATACAGTATACCTCTTCGTTCATCAGCTTTACTGTCAAATGTTCATTGCAGTGAGTCACTGGTCTGGTCCAAGGCCTCTGGTTTCTAGTGCAGCATCACTGGATCCTCACCGGAACTCCTCTGGGACATCCTGTGGCTGCCACTGGTTTTGGAGATTTTGCGGGTGTCATTCCACAGGACCAGTCCCTTCACCAACTCCAGTCGGTCCTAGATGGGGTAGGTGCTAGGCTAGATTAACCCACGGCCAAGCTGTAGGCCTGGATAGTAGCCAAGCTGGTCAGTCCAGGCCCCTGGGGTCACCCACCTTGGGCAAGTGAACGGAGTCTGCTTTCCTACATGCATGCCTTCGGGGATAGTTCACCCTGGTCTGTGATGTGATGGGAGCCATCTTCTCCAGCATGCAGGGTCCAGCTCTCGCTGTGGTGTCCAGCGAGAGGCAAGGCCAGCTCTCCCAGAGCTAGCAAAGGCTCAGCATAGCCCTCTGATTTCATCTTGCATGGTTCCCAGGGCCATGAGGTGACACAGGCCACAGACATCCACATATGCCCCAGCTATAGCCGGACCACAGACTCAGACATGGCCATTGGCAGCAGCTTGGCCTAGTAGACATCCTGGTATTTGTAATACCGTTTGGCCAATAACTTAAGCATATTTTGAGCTAGCGCTTACATCTTAAGTTAGCCCATTTCTATTAATCTGTATATTTCCACGTGGCTGTGGCTTATCGGGTGAAGTTCTGTCCGGCACCTGTCTCCAGCGGGACTACAGGGCTTCTTACTGACTCTGCCTACTCTCTCCCAGCACTCATTTAGTTTTCCCCGCCTGGCTCTATTCTGCCCTATCACAGGCCAAAGCAGCTTCTTTATTCATTAACCAAGGAAAGCAACGCATATACAAAAGGACTTCCCACATCACCTGGCTGTGGGTGGAAGGATTGGCCACTCAGGTAGGAATGGTTGTGGCTCTAACCTTGAGCCTCTATGTGACTTTTGGTGGAAGTGCAGGATCTGGACTTCAGCACAGACCCCAGTCATGGTAGAACCATAAGGCTCCAGTGCCTGGGTCTGGATATCACCACTGCCCCAGCAGCAGTATGGCCCTGAGATACCAACATGGCCTCGAGCTGTGGTGTTTGCACAACCGTCCATGGTAGCAGGTGCACTGGACATCATCACAGACCCTGTTGTCAATAGGGCCATGGACTCTGACATGGCCCTCAGCTGTTGCTCTGGCCCAGACATCACCAGGACTTTGTGTGTAGCAGTGCAGTATACTTAGATCCGGAAGCTTCCTGGCCCTTAGACACCAACCTGGACTCAGGTGACTGATCTGACCCTGGGCACCCTCATAGCTCATGGTGGGAACAGGGGCCCCGTGCGTCAGTCCAGCCCCCAGCTGCTAAAGGGCCACAAACCCTGACATGGCCTTCAGCAGCAGCCCGGGCCTAGATGACACCATGACCCCATGTAGCAGCACAGTCCACTCGTATCTGAATGTCCCCTGCTGTGACGTGGCCCTGAGACTCAAACCAAGTTGCAGTCTTTTGTCCAGAACTCTGTATTGGCCCTAGTAGCAACCTGGGCCACAGGCTTCATCACAGACCTGTAGAGATATTTTATTTGTATTTTATCAAATAAAGCTTGCCTGAAGTTTAGAGTGAAAGATAGCCACACTGATCAGCCAGGCAGTGGTGACACACCTTTAATCCCAGTAGACATGCTAATTTGTCATAGAAACTGGGTGATAGTGCATGCTTTTAATTCCAGAACTAGAGGAGAATATAAAAGGGGAGGAGATAGCTCTCACACACAGTCTCATTCCTGAAATTCCTGCAGGCAGGATCGTCATTTCGGACTAAGGTAGAGTGTTGAAATAGGAGCGGCAGGGCTGCGTCCCTGGCACCCGGCCGCCCGCATGGCTAGCTTATACCCAGAAATAATTACACGGAAACTGTATTCTTTCAAACACTGCCTGGCCCGGCTAGGTCCAGTTTCTTATTGGCTAGCTCTTACATATTGTTCTAACCCATTTCTAATATTCTGTGTAGCCCATGAGCTGGCTTACCAGAGAGGATCTTAACCTGC